CTAGGGCAGAGTTTTATATCTCAGACACCTTACACTTAGATCCAGACCTGTTTTTGTTAATATAATAATCTTTACACCAATTAGAATACTCTGTAATGTTCACAGACATCCAAACCTTAGAAATGACATAAAATCAATATTAAAAATAAAAATGATCAATATAATTTTTTTATTAAAAGATCAGTTATCTGTGAAAAATTTTAATATTTGATCTTGTCTAGTTTAAGCAGTCATCTGCTTATTTCTAACAGTGCAGATTTATTCTTATTTTCTATCATCTTTGGGTTTAGTGCATTCACTTAATATTAATTATAAAATGTAAAATAACAAGTTACTACAGTCTGGGCATAGGATTTCTAGGAAAGCTTGTTGGCAACAGCTAACCTGGTCCATCCACGCTGATAGGACAAATCCTCTCATCAGCATCAGGTGATAAACAGAGTCATGACTGAACACCGGCCAAAAATAAAAGATCGGCCCACTAGGAATTTCCCAGCTGGGTCCTGTTTCCACTCGCCATCTCCATTAGACAGGAGCAGCTCACAGGGCAAATTTTTGTGTGCAAATTTTAGTCAGTTTTAGTTGACAAAGATTTTTGTTTTGAATTTTACAAAACATTAAACAGAGTACTATTCTCTAACAAATTAATTTATAGGTCTGACATGTGCTCTGAGCTACTGGAGTGAGTTTCATACCAACATCATTTACTTTATGGCTATGGGACAAAATCTCAGCTGCCCCAGATTCAGTAAAACAACCAATCCCCAGACTGGTATCATTTCTTTTTACTTTATTGATAATCACAATAGTGTCGATAATTTATTTTTGCAGATCTGTGTATCGTTCTGTAGATTTCCATAAAAGTAATTTATGATTTTCTTTCCTTAACAGAATGGACTCCTAGGGAGTATACAGAGTACTCTACAAAATATTTATACAGAAATAAAGAAATGTGTTTGTTTACTTTATTATTTGAGTTATCAGACCTCCATCTTAGTGTCAATATTGTTTTTCTATAGACTGCAGTGTTGTGAGTTTAAGCCTACAAAATTAATATAAATAACCTAGTTCTGCTCTTGAGCATCAGCAGAGATGCTCATACACATTTAGATGGGCTTAAACTGTTATGCTGTTGGGTTAAAAAGCTGGAATGTGACCCATTATTATGAACCAGAGAGAAGAGACAATAATCCTGACACACTGACTTTAAAACTGTAAACATGCTCAGATAAAACTTGTTAAAAACCGTCTTTTTTTTTTAATTTATCTGCCCAAAAGCATGACTATTTCAGGAGGCACACGGATAAGAAATGTGTTATTATTACAGCCTAATTTAAAAGTAGCAACGTCGTCACTCGTAGTATAGCGTCAATGAGCAGCTGAGCGCTGCACTTTTCCGTGGCAGGGAAGTGCTGAGCCAAGCTGAGTGAAGATGGCTTCCAACCCACATCAGAAATCCATGCAAATAGCATGGCTTGTGCTTTCTGATGTGAGTGGGGAGCCAGCAGAGGACAAACAGACAACAGCAGCAGCGCAGTTACTTTTAACTTTTGTGAGACAGGCAGAAATGTGCATTTTGAGCATATTTAGCATCTAGTCTCGGCTCGTTAATGAAAACACCCGTTCATCTAGTCATGTTTTAGTAACCAAAGAGCTATTTCTCGCTCGTCAGCTTGAAAAAAAAAAGGGCATCGATGAAATCAATTTGTCATTGTTTCCGTTAACGAAAACAACACTGCTTTAGAATAAATCAATAACAGGAGCTGGTTCAAGCACTGGACAGAGAAAAGCTGCTTATTCTTCATTTAAGCAATCCCAGCCAGAAAACGGGTAAGGACCTTTCCAAAGTCAGTGGGGAAACATTGAGATTACAACCTCTGTGGCATTTACAAATTGAGTCCAACAAGATGAGGGCCACCAAGAGACTCCCAGTAAACATAATCACACCAGCAGGCCAATAAATCTAAACTGCAGATCTTTCACATTGATGCTGCAGTAAATTTAGCTCCTTTCCTACTTCTGGCTTTCCGCTCTTCAGAAGAAAACAAGTATGTGTTTACAGTTGTCTAAAGGGGGACAGCAACTAACAACAGTGCTCTTGGCTGCTAAACATCTCTGTGGCTTTTGCTTGGGGCCAGGCTGTGAGTCACAGCAGTGATGTTTGTATGCACAGCACTGACTAAAACATGTAGAAGAATGGAACAATGTGGAGGAAAACCTCCTTGACGTTGACATTGGCAAAGCTCACCTTGAGTTTATCTTTTGTAAACATGACGGATATAAGATCTGACTCAAAAACCTGAGTTAATTTAGTACTCACATTGTTTTGTTCTGAGCATAAGGGCCTCCACCTCTGTTGCGGTTTTTAAGGTAAGGCTAAAAACATATTTTTATGACCTGTCTTTTAACCTTTCTAACTAGTTTTATTGTTTTACTTATAGCGATTTTACTCATTGTATTTTTTATCTGTATTGTGTGATACAATGTTTTATTTTTGGACTTAATGTTTTATGTTTTTATTTGATCAGTGTAGCGCCTTGGTGGCATCTTTTTGCCTGTAAGGCGCGATTTATAAATAAAGTTGAGTTGAGTTGTTCCAGGGGAAATTTACAACAACAAATGTCAGAAATATAAAAAGGATTTAAGAGGCAGAACTGATGTCATACTGTTCTGTAATCTCTAACACAGCTAAAGGATAAGTGATTCTGTTGTATCGTTCCAGTCAATTGTGTCCTGTAGGAACAAAACAAATCATGACCTCTTATTTAGTCATGTTTTTGATAAAGTGTGTGAGATGCTAATTAATTTGTTAAAACATTCTGTTGAAAGGAATGCAGCGATAGGGATTGACAATGAGCTAAATGAACCTTCATTGGTCTTTAGATGCAAGCTAGATACTGTGAAGTTAAGACCCTGTACACAAGTAACAGGGAACCCCACAAAACAAATATTTTTTCTATAATTTGGCCTGTCATCCATATGAAAGTGAAGATAAACAGCACCAAAATGATAATGATGTTTTCACATCATTGCTTGCAACAAAAATGCTCTGACATCAAATGTTTAATGTTCAGCACAGGACAATTTGTCAGTACAACAACCTCTATCTCTCTCACAATTCAATTTCAATTCAAGTTTATTTATATAGCGCCAAATCACGACGAGTCGTCTCAAGGCACTTCACACAGTAAACCTCTCACACACGCACACCTTAATCAACATTTTTTTGTTTAACTTTGTGTGGGAAACAAATGCCAAGAACATTAGAAATAAAATGTTTCATCATAAAATAAAAACAAAGTAAAATAAAAAAAAGTTGTTTCTTGTTCTAGTAGTTCATATTTCCTGTACGAGTTCAATTGTATTCATTCATGCATTTAAATATTCATGTTTTGAATTTATTGAAAAGCTTGACATATTGGTGTTTTCTTGAAAATGAGTAGAAATATGACATGTTGGTTGAGCTGGTCCACACTGTCGGTATGGTCTACCTCCCTTCACTGGCAGCCTTGCACATCTCTGACTGCAGTGGTGCCTGTCTGCATGTCTGTATGCCATTAGATAAAGTTGCACGCTACTTCTCTTTTAGCGTAATTATAAAATAGTGATGGGGTGGGGGGTGTTCTAAAAACTCAAACAATAGCGACTAAATTGGTGATATTTCCGCAAAGAGCTGTGACCGGGCGCCGTTCTCTCATGAGAACTAGTGCTGTTTCATAAAATGGAAATTGGTTCATATCATTGATTATTAACAAGTTCATATCCTATCCAATTATGATAGACTCTTGTGCATGGTTGTATTAACATTTTTTTAAATAAAGTATTAATTTTGTATTACTCTTTATTAGTCATAATTTTTGATCACCACTCGTGGGAGGGGCCAAAATGGTCAGGTGCTTTGTGTGTGTGTGTGTGAGGGGGATCAGCATATACCTACTACAAAAAACTAGACTACATCACTGGAACTCCTCCAGGCTTGTGTTATTTGTGGAGGAAAATCATCCATGATGCAAGTCAGTGATAACAAATCATTACAGGAATAATAATATTCATGTTAACCATCATTCATTATTGCAGAGTATTGTCTATTCAACAAAATATGATTATATAAAACTTATAAAATTATAAAGTCCTTTATAAGCCAGGGAAGATAAACTTTATTCAAAGAGGATGGATAAGAAGTCCTACGTCTTCTGCAGCCTTGAGGACGCGTGACGTACCGCAGGATAAGATAAGAATATTCGAAAGGTCATAGATTTCACATCGGCACCACAGTGTCAGATTGACCTGTATGGAGATGTTTGGCCTGTAAGTTAACTTTTAACTTCTGGTCATTTTGATGAAATACCGTACTTGGCCATTTGGTACACTACGTAAATAAACGCCAAAGTTTAGTGAATTTTAGAACAAACGGGCAAAGGAACAATTTCCATGTTCCAGCTTTTAAGATCAACCAGACCTGGATGAGAATCTCCACAGAAACATAAAGCAGAGTAAAATACTTGACAGAAAAAACACTCAAGAATTAACCCCCATCAGGAGCACAAACTGTGTTCCTGCTTTCCCACCTTGCTAACTGAATCACATCAGATGCATTCAACTCATATGATCACAATCAGTTTAGCTCAGACTTATTTCATCATTTACTCCCTGAAGTGTTCTCAGCTCTCACAGCAGCAGCCTGCCCTCCAATAGTCAATCTGACACCATCACCACAGACAGCAGGATTCATCACAGAAGAAAACCCCATCTGGGCCTTCTGAGTGTGTCCGCGGTAAATGGATTAGGAGTTGTGACAACGAAAGAACTGTTCACCAATGTAAGCTTGGAAAGTTTAGTTTGTGTTGCACAGTTCTTAAGTATCTGGGCTCCAACATGCTTGCTCCAGAAATCTCTAATGACATTAAAGCAAAAGTAAAGAAAAGACAGTAAAGGGCAGATTTATCAGTATCAGCAGATAGATGAGATACAGATTCCCTTTGACCTCCTTAAACCTTTACCTATGGTGTAGCCTCTCTTCATCTCCACACAGCGAGAAGAGCGTTGCTGAGAGTCGGTGGTGTAGTTCTCCTGCACCACGAGGCCAGCAGTTGCCTTGGCAACAGCTGGTGAAGCCTTGTCGCAGGCCAAAGCTGGCACTAGTGTCGGAGAGAATCCTTGACTGGCAATATCCACCGACTGAGACTTCTGCTTTAGTCTGCAGAGACAAACACAGGTAACAGGTTTTAGAGGTTAAAACCACAGAACAGCTATGTGATCTGGTCCTTTCAATGACACTGAGAACAAAATCGACTGATTCTCAATATTTACATCTGAGGATTTTGGAGTCAATACACTGTTACATACATGTAATTGTGTAAGAAAATCATCTAAGTGACAGGGAGGTGAGGATCGATAGGTTAATCACACTCTTGTTATGGGTGAATTCATTAGCAGCCCGGTGCACAGCTGTCAACTGTACGAAGGGATTAAACCACAAGATATCCATGCAGAGCAGCAGGAGTCAGGAAGTAAAACCCAGATGAAATGAGAGTTAATATAAGAGTTGTTGCACATTATTGATTATGTGTGTTGTGTTGTGTGAGTGCCAGCGTGTGTGTGTGTGTGTGTGTGTGTGTGTGTGTGTGTGTGTGTGTGTGTGTGTGTGTGTGTGTGTGTGTGTGTGTGTAAATATTGTTGTGAACAACTGAGAAAATCGGTGGGTATTGTAGTGACCTCTGACCTCTACATATTATGCATATTTTTATTGTGACAATAATCTGTTGAGATAATTTGAAAAAAGAACCATCAGTGTGATTTTAAGGGATGAGGCTGAAAAATCCCCCTGCCAAATGTCATTGTATGTGCTCACTGCCAAGGACCTAAGTGTATGTTTGTGTGGAATGTCGTTGGTGGAAGTGTTAGGGTGCAAATAAAATTGGAGGGCAGGTCGCCAGAGGAATGCGGGAATGGGACCCATGCCCGCACCCCCCAACTTGTCCCCCCCAAGGTCCTATGTGCATATGTGTGTGATGATGTGAAGGAGCAGGAGGAGAAAAATGTGTGGAGATGGGGAGGAATGGCTGGTTGGACTAAGCCCTCCAGTGAGCCAACTCCCCCACGGGCCCCAATAGGCACCTCTGTTGCCAAAATACCACCCAGGGCATGGAGACCCCAGCCCATCTTGCCAGGGCCCAAAGCAGCAGCATCACAGAGCCCCACCGAGTCCAAGGGCACCAACCCAGCCCCCACCCCCCTCCCCCACCCCCACCCCCTCTTAACAGGGCACGTCCCGATTGGCCAAGTAAATCATAATATAAGAATATTAAAACAGGCTCATTTGCGGAGTGATTCAGCATGCTGTTAGTTGAGCCTAACTGACTGGCCATCGGAGGGAAACTCTGCTCCCATTGCATCTTTGACAAGATGTCAAAAACCTGTTGCATGCTACAGCTAACCACAAACGGTTCCTTCAGGATAAAGCTGAACCAACTTCAACTCCTTAAGAGTTATTCCTAAGACGCAAACAACTGTGGTGACCTGGAGACATCTCGAGACCGTTCAGGTTGTACTGCGGTTTCTCCTACGGACTTCGGTACCTTTGGGGTTCATCAGACTACCTGACAGCCCAGATTTACCACGGGGGTCTCTGACGAAGGGTACATAGGCTCACAGATTGCATCTCATGTGGCTTTAGAAACCATCATTATAGTTTATAGCAGACCAAATTCACTCCCACTCGGAACTCAGTTTCTCCAGATACGAAGGTTCTGATAACCTCACATTCCATCCACTTAGATCCATTCATCACATAAAGTGTCCTAGTTGTCATGTTTTTAATTGTTTAGGGAATAAAATTTTTACTTTTTATAACTTTGACTCTGTCTGAATTGATACGAAGTGTGTTTGATCACTGAAAAAGCAAAGAATCCTAATTCTTCTGATTAAACATTCAAAGACCAATTAGAGTGATACTCTATTTATACAGAATATCACAGCTTATTGGCCATAAGTAAAGGTAATATATTAAGCTTAAAACCAACAATATTTACCCCTACACCTGATAACATTTTACTTTCTTTGACATTGAATGTGCTACTACTATTTTACCCATTTACCTATAGATTAACTAGGATAAATACAATAAAATGTATCTCTTACTAAATAGAATATTAACTAAGAAATAACAATGTAACCATAGAAAAACTACTTGGCATATATGTTGTGTGTGTGTGTGTGTGTGCGTGTGTACGTGTGTGCGTGTGTGTGTGTGTGTGTGTGTGTGTGTGTGTGTGTGTGTGTGTGTGTGTGTGTGTGTGTGTGTGTGGTTGGTGGGGGGGGCTCCGTCCTCTCAATCCCCAGTGAGTCATGACAGATGGCTGCTTATAATGAGCCAGGATCCTCTGGAGGTTTCTTCCTGTTTAAAAGGGAGTTTTCCTCTCCACTGTTGCTAAATGCTTGCTTAGTATGAGGATTGCTGTAAAGACATTGACACTAGTCAGTGACTCGATGTAATTTACAGGGTTCCTTATATGGGAAACTTTGTACTGACTGGTTTAATGAACTGTCCTGTATTGGAATGTTTACTGTGTGAAGTGCCTTGAGATGACTCTTGTGATTTGGCGCTATTTAAATAAACTTGAAACTTGAAATTTACCCATTGTGCTGCTTTGTTTTAAACATCCTTATTAAACTCTGAAAATCTCATCAGACAGGCAGGCATCAAATTTCAGAAAATGCTCCCTCCCACTCACACCTCAGATCGGAGCTCAGAGGAACTCTTGGTGTGATTTTCTCATGTTCACACATTCATTGTGGGGAACTTCTAACAGGTACACCAGCAGAGAGAATAATTTACATGAGATTAGAAAAGATTTCTGGCTTAGTCACCAATTGAGCTTCAGACCCTTCATAGAATTTCTCTAGGCTACTGATTTTAACAAGACAAACCATCAAAAAAGCTCCAGTTTCAGGAATAATTTTATTTGCTCATTAATTCTAAGTAGCGCTGAAAGAAGCCTTCATTATAGATATTGGAAACATTACTTTCAACTACCAGCCTCGGCAATTTGTTATGGGATGATTCACCAGATGAATTTACAAAAGTACTCGTTCAAAAGGCAGTGCGAAAGAGCTCTACAACTTCACCCTATATACAAATGATTTTAATGGTCAGACAAGAACTCCGCTCCGCCGGCAATCAAAAGGGTAATTATATTTATTATAATGCATTTTAATCTAAATCCAAAAACAAGCTTGAGTGAGATGAGCGAAGTCTGGCTATGCAAACAGAATACACTGAAGCCCTAAGCTTGTTCTCCTAAATTATGCATGCAGCTGAGTGGACGCACTATATTCTGCTACACTAAATGACCTTTCACAATAATTGTGGGACAGTGTCCTTGGGCTTTCAGCCTAAAAGTGGATGTTACGCAACTGGGAAGAAGGCACTGAAGTATATGTTAATTTAACTTTCATGTCAAGGATAACAAGCAGTGATGCCAGTAACATTACGTTGTAGCACGTTACTCTAACAAAACATCTTTTGTCAGTAACAACAAATGTAACGCGTCAATATTTCCATACTAGTAATAGAATTACAGTTACATTTCCAAGCAATTGTGCGTCAGTTTTTTTTCTTTACTCACGATTTTTTAAGCAGGAAAAAAGTGTGGCTGATGTAAAGCCGAGATCAACATAGTATGATGCTTATAACTAATCAGAGCATACTTTCCTTGCATGAGTGAAGCAGTAAAACAATAGAACGGCACAGCAATGCCATTCATTGGAAAAAGACTCTCACTTAACTCATTCACTACCGGTCGTTTCCTGATCGCTAAAGCCCTTCGCTGCCAGCGTTTCTCACCATTTTTACTGTTTTTTTTAAGAGTCACAGAACGTTGCACGCTAGGATGAGGTATCATATATTAATCAACTTGTTTTAATATATTTTATATTTATTTTCGGCATCTACTATTCTGTTTCATGAAATTTTGATATAGTGCATTTTTCTTTTACATGCATTTTGCAGACCTTTTGCTATCCAAGGACAACCAGTATATTTATTTTTCATATAATATTGCTTCAATGGACAATTTTTATTATACAATGTGATAAATATTAAATTCATCATATGCACCATTCACATCAGTTTGATATGTTTGATCCCAACTCTGTGTCATTAAATCATTTCTAAATGCATTTAGTGATTCTTCTGTTCTCACTCGTCTATATTCTTTTTTCTTGACAGTTTTTTTTTCTTTTTGTAATTCCCATCACAAATTGTGAAAATAGGAAGATAGTCACTGTTGCCCAGTTATTGTATTTCCAATGGCATTAGTAAATATGCTATCAATGAGAGTGGTGCTGTGTGGTGTGATTCTTGTAGGTCTGATCATTTTAGGGTAAAGGCTTGTGCAGTACATTACATTTAGGAAGTAACCTGTCCCTTTATGCTTATGTGGATTTAACAATCTTAAAACATAAATAGATTAAAATCAGAAAAATAAAGTAATAAAATTCTAAAATATCAGAAAACAAATGAAAGATGATTACAAATTTGAGTTAAAAATTATAAAACAAAAGATTTAAAAGCAGCTTTAAATAAAAGGTGCTGTGCCATGCGTTGTCCGTGATAGAGCGCGCAGGGGGTGGATGTTTCTTTAAAAGGTGTCAAGAGTTACTTTGTTGCCAATTTAATTATTTTTATATATTAACAACTGCAGAAGTAGGAATTAAGTTTAAGAAATCTCAAATCTCTAAAAACCTGATATGTGGCTGTTTTAACATTTATCAGGCAGACTGATAAACATTAGCTGTGTCCAAATTCAGGGGCAGCATCCTTCGAAGTGACACGAGTGCTCATGGGAATAAAAGCATGAATCAGCATGACAACATACATACCAGATGACCATGAATCTTGAAGTCCTTGTGCACCTACCTAAACGAGGACTATGACAAGTTAACAAAGTAGTGCATGGTGAGTCCTTGCAACAACATGTAAAAAGGATATTCCACCCCTAAGTTAAATTTAGTCTATTTCTGTTTTCCCCCCCGAGTTGGATAAGTGAGAAAAAAGCATTTTGTAACCAACACAGTTGGTAAGTAAGTCTCCTGGTCTGGCAGCAGTCGGCCTGCTTTAGCTTAGCATAAACAATGGAAGTGAATAGCAGAAGTAGCATTTTGTGTGCAAAAGTGATTAAAATGACTCAATAATGA